ACGCTGGCGTATGATGGCGCAGTTATGGCACCTCACGAAGTCTCACTTCTCTCCTTTTTTATTTACTTATTTTCTAGCCACTGTTACAGTGGCTGCTGCTGCTGCTGCTGCTGCTGCTGCCGCTGCCATTGTTTGATGCTCACTCCCTTCTTTGCCCTATGCACAACACTTACCATAGAGAAGTTATTTAGTAGAGGAACTAATATATTATAAATATAAGCCAAAGACGGTAAGAAGTGTGAGTTGGCGACATAATCGGTGCTGCCCAATAGTAACAGCACGGTGTGACGCCGTGATACCGACAGAGTTGACCTTTCAGGTCAGCAGAGTGCCTAAAGGCGTCCTAATTAAGTGTCTAGAAGAGAATAAGCAAGGGCCAGTAGGCAAACTAAACACGTTCTGGCGTTCGGACGAAACCGTCAAGGTAATCAACTCAGTCTCAATGTGCGACGTAGATATTGACGAGCTCCTGTCTCTCCCGCGTCTATCCTTTTCACTAAATGGTATAAAGGGGGGAGTGAATCCTATTGTGGAAAACCAGCAAAGCAAGTCAATATCCGTAGATTCATTAGAATCCCTGTGGAACAGCTTCTTTTGATCCTTGCCTTAGCTTGCCGGCTCCCGTTTACCAGAGAAGCATTGCTAAGCTCGATTCGCGCAAGCCGTCCGCTTCGTAGAAAAGCGATCCCAATGATTAAAGATTATTTAAAGAGCAGCATGTGGCAGCTAATAAGGTGTATCGGAAGATCGATAAAGTCCAAAAAACACAAACCACTACCTGCCCATGTGGTACAAATCTATCGTCCATATCGTCTACTGTCACAGTTTCCAATTCATTTTGATGTGGAGGTTTGAAAATTTTTAGGATAGTAAATTATAGTAAAAATTGACCTCTTTCATACAACATGAATAGTTCGCGTACAGTCGACGCTGTTCAGGTCACATGGTGCCTGCTTTAGCAATGAACCTGTGTTAAGTAAGATGTTTCATTTCAGGCCTTTACATATTGAAGTACGTGTCATGTTGCAGTAATATGGCGACGATGACTTATCAATGATCTTGAAATCTTCTCTAAACATACTCTGCTCAGGTATCGGGGTGCTTAGGTAATAACAATCGTTTGCTAATTAGACAAGTGTGAAATTTACGTCTAATTGTCTTGCATATATATGTGTGTGTACTTCGGGTATCTTATCTTGCCACAGTGTACAATACTTTGATGAATAGCTAATAAGAGGTACGAGATCTGCTAAAAAACCCGTCGTATTAGAACGTCACGTTGGTTTGTTGTGTTCATAAGCACGGCTTGACAACTCCAGACTCCGAACGAAGAGGGTTGGCCCCTAGCATTTGATTTAGCCCATAGGATCATAACTCTAGGGCATTTAAGTCACCATATAATATAAGAGATGGCCAATGGCAAACAACTTTTCTTGTACTCTATGTTGATCATTTTTTCGACCTTGACCCATTCTCGGCCTGGTATGCTTACTAGCATGCGTGCTTGACCCCGTAGTATCGCAACTTCTAAACAGGTAGATGTTTACTACGTATCAAATGCGTTACAGTTTGAATACTAATTTTAGAAGTACTTTGATAATTGAGGCATACGTAAGTAGGTTGTGACCACTTGCTAATATAGAATTTAATTAAAACCCAGAAAATACATGGGTCATAAAATTACATGAGGTCTCACTCGCTAAGCTCGAAGTAAGAACGAATTAACATTCAAGAATATTTACTCTACATATATATTCCGACGCTTAATGAGGTAACTAATAATGCTGATTTAAGCAACTTAAACTTGAAATCGCACCTTAGTAAATACAGTTATAAAAAATTCTGCTATTGCGCACATGCTCTGCTTCTATTTCCACGAATTAAGAAAATTATATTTGTTTGATGCTCATTGACCGAGATGTAATTCCGTCCCAAGATCCGAAATGTGTTATGTTGTTTACATGTCTTTGTCATAATAACGACCACTGTCAACAAACATAGCGATGCTCATACGCGTCGCCGTGTTCGATAGCTTCTGCGACGCGTTACTGTACAGGCACCACCGTAAGGCGTCCGAAACCCGTCACTGCATCGCCTTCGGCTGCTTTCAGCGTGAGCTTCAGTTGTAGGTTCTCTCAGCAGTGTGGGGCCCTGGGGGCTACCTCAAGCCTCCAGGCGCGTGACCTGCGACCTATTGACGTTTACGCTATTAATCGATGATACGGTGCTGGGCCGCGGATTGACATCCGCTCATGAGCTGATACGATTCTGATAAAATTATAACGGCAATTATAGTAAATGTTAAACAGAAGACGTATAGGATCTTTTTATATCACGTCGTTATCCATAAAATATACGTGATTATAAATATGAGCCACTTTCATGTGTGAGTAAATGAGATCAACTGCCGAGCGATTTTATCGTTTAACTCCAACTGTTACCCTTCTCTATAAAATACTGTGTTTTTAAAAAATCCATGTTTAGGTCTTACTAGGCCCGAATATTTTTCAATACAAACCTGGTTGTATTCACTCTGACCAACTAAAATGTGGTTAAATGAAAATATCTTTTTGAAATTATGGCAGAATCTCACTGGCAAGTGAATCGTATCTATGTTAAGAACGGCTGCTGTAAACACCAGCTCATTAAATAATGTTTTTTTCATTTGAAAAATGAACTATCATACGTCTTCTTAGAATCTAATATTTCTTTACATCAAATTTAAACGGGTCTTGTCAGCCGGTCATGAAAATATGCGACAACTCTACCTGCTTGATAAACATCGTCGTCTACGGGCTGTCGCATCTTAAATATTTTTCTTATTTATCCTTTTAAAAAATTTCCACAGTCAAAGAGCGACCTAAGATGAATTACATTGTGATGAAAAGATCGACTGTATGCAAAATTGGCGGTATAAGTAACCTGTATTCAGTTCAACTGCACTCATCGCTATGCTTCTCACAGATTCCCTGGAGAACTCATCGTGTGGGCCTTCTGGGTAATTCATCGGATTGTCCCTTCGAAACACGTGTCGTCTAGCCTGTCTGGTGAGTTCATCCAGATGTCTCCTCCCCCCTCAGTCCTTGCGCCTCGGGGCAAAATGCGTGCAGACGTGTTTTTGGGAAGGTAAAAGCCCTTAGAGGTCAAACAAACTAGACGAAAGACCGTGCCAATGTTCATTAGCATAGATTCATCATAATAGTGAGACCTTCGTCGCCACACGCTCGCGTACGACCCCGCCACGCAATTCCAGCTGTGAGTTTTGCCCAGAGGGCTTCGTCGCGCGTTATGCGGCGTATTGTTGAGAACCGCCTTCCGAACCTAAATCTGTGGCATTTTCTCGGAAACTCACTGATTTGTCCGTTTGTTTTTCTCTTCGATGTGTCAGGTTGTTTTCAACTTGTGCCATTAAAAAGTCTATGCTACAATGCCATAATAAATTTTCTAAACTCCTAAATATGTCCCATCGCCATCTAGACGCTACCTCGGTTACTTGTGGATATCCGTTGATCAACGAAATTTGGCTTTGAAATACGTAATGTTGTCAAATCATTGGACTTTCGTCGGACATACATTTCGATATGAAGAAATACAAATGTATGATAAGTCTCAAGCTGTACTTTGATTGAATACAGATTAATTGATACGAAGCGGGATCTCAAGGATATTAATTCAGATTTTCTTAGTTTAGAAAGGTCGTCGTTGTCTATACATGACGCATTGTAATAGCATATAATTGCATAAAATAGCATAAAATTGAAGTCTTCATCCACGAGACAACCTCCCATGAATTATGAAGACTTATTGGTATTTAGTTTGTATGATTTTTTGGGAAATTTTAATAATAACCAGTTATTATTTAATTAATTACTGCAATAAATAAAATTGTGAAGTAACACTATGTGTTGGAACAGTTCTGCTGTTTCAGCTACGTCCTTTATCTTATGGGAGTTGCCATTTATGCCAGCTGGTACACTAACGGCTCACACCACTTTGGGAAGTTGGTCGTTATGGGCGGTATTTCCACGGTTTCGTAGAAGTTTAGTTGATTCTGACTTCAAACACAGAAGCACCGCGACAGAGGTTGGACGCTGTGAAGACGACCTCTTAGGGCATAACTATAATAATAATAACAAAACTAAATGAATGTTTATATGCTAATTGCGTAAAGGACCTTTTACGGAAACTCGCCGACTCATACGAAGAGTGATGCAATAACAGATTTTACAAAGTCCCCTAAAAACAAATAGGTTTTGGGACCAAAGTGTCCCTTATAGGTAGAGAAACCTTTCAGATGTTAGGGAGACCTTAGGTAAATTTTTGCCTCGATAAAAGCTAACACGACTGACATTTTTCTATGTCAAATATATAT